CAAAGATAATTAACGTCTCACGTCCACATTTTTAATTATTCAATGCATGTACATTATACAGTCCAGAAAAATGAAAGAATCCGTTTAATTTATGAATATATATCAGTATATGTTCATACTACAACTTCTATGCCAATGACTGTCAAATTTACTCCCCCCTAAGACACAATGGTACATGCTCTATTCAACCGCTGCTCAACTGCCTGGCTGACATCAGGGACTGGATGGCTTTAAATTTCTTAAGTTTCAATGTAAAGAAGTCTGAAGTCATGTTGTTCCCTCCCAACGACACGATCACAAACCACTGCATCGACCTTTCCGCTCTAACCCTGTCAGAAAAACAAAGAGTCACTAATCTGGGCGTGATAATGGACCCTTCCCTGAAACTTAACAATCATGTAAACATGATTGTTAAATCATGCTTCTTCTTCGTCTTAAGCGCAGAGGTGAGAGGGCCTTCTCTGTAGCAGGACCAAGACTCTGGAACGAGTTACCTCTGCTTGTCAGACAGGCCCCCTCCCTCTCGGTTTTCAAGTCCCGTTTAAAAACTCACTACTATTCAATAGCTTTCAACACAAGATGATCTGTTTTGATCCTATATGCTCTACACTGGTTTGTTGTCATTATCTGCATCGTTTTTTTGTCTATATTCTGATTTACCTCATTTTGTATTTTGCTTTGTGTGTTACCTGTTGTTTTGTCTGTACAGCACTTTGGTTGGCCTTGTTGCTGTTTTAAGTGCTTTATAAATAAAGTGGTATGGTATGGTATTTGTCTGGGTCACAACTTCTGAACTGCTTAAGACAATTTAACAAAACTTTATACACATTTGTGTCGGCACAGTGGTGCAGTTAATAGAGCTACCGCCTCGTAGCAAGAAGGTTGCCGGTTCAAATCCTGGACGGCGGCATTCTGGGTGGAATTTGCATGTTCTCTCCGTGCATGCATGGGTTTTCTCCGGTACTCCGGTTTAGTCCCACAGACCAAAAACATGCATGTTAGGCTGATTGGTAACTCTAAATTGTCCCTAGTTGTGAATGAGAGAGTGAATTGTTGTTTGTCTCGTTTGTCTCTATGTGTCCCTGTGGTGGACTGGAGACCTGTCCAGGGTGTACCCCACCTCTCACACAGTGATGATTGGATATGGGCACCAGTGACTCCCGTGACCCGAAAAGGAATAAGTGGGTAAAGATAATGGATGGATGATGGATGGATATACACGTTTGTACTACCACTAGACAGCATGTCACTCCAGCTCAAATGTCAAGATCATAAATCAAGGTCAACGCTTAACAACAAGATCTTTGCTTGTCTGGGTCATTGCTATAGGTTGCTGTATAACAGTTTGTTGACAGGTGTGTAATGTGCTGTATGCGGTATGCTTGTTGCAATAAGATTAATGTATAATTATTATTTAGTAATATATTTTTAAGATACTGATTATTATGTCTTTTAAATTATGAGGTAAAGCATAATAAAAATATCCTACATTTTGACTTATATCGAACAGAACTGTTTGTTCTTTCTGTAAAATGCTCGATCAGTTCCTGAAATAGTGGCTGTCAGGCTATTGTTACTGTTGACACTTTTACCTCTCATTGATATTCAGCTGGAAGTGACTCACTGGTGTAGCTGCCTTTGTATCTGAGAGGTTTAGTGTAGTTTCAGTCTTAATTGCAGCTGCAAGAATTATGCACTTAGAAAAAGAAATTCATGACGGCATGTTCCAGACAGACGACAAAAACTGAGGAAAAACAATGAAACTGTGACACCCAGACAAAAGCTATAAGTACAGTCTCAAAAAAATGACCGTCGAGATGAATCAACACTGAACATTAGAAGCGTAATCAAACATCTATTCACTGCAAAGCTTTTTTCACAATACGGACTGAAAAGAAAATGTTTAGCTATGTGCAGAGGAGGGTGCAACACTTGATTACAGCTTGTTTGATGTAGTTCACATTATGAACACTTGTGTCAATCATAAAAAGGTGCAACTTTCTCTACAGTTTGTCAGTAATTAATCATAATATATCATAAATATTATAGCCTGCTGTGGATTCTTTGGTCATGTATGCTCCTCACAATCTGTCCTTTCTTTATAGGATTTTCACATATTTTGCCATACTTCTATGTCATTTACTTCACCGTCCTGCTGATTCACCGAGAGGCCCGGGATGAGAGACAGTGCCGGGCCAAATATGGACTTGCCTGGGACACCTACTGTCGTCGTGTCCCCTACAGGATCGTCCCGTACATTTACTGAAAAGGACAGCACACGAGAGAAATAAAACTGACGCACAGCGTTCTCGCAATTTATATTTATTGAAAAAGTAAATCCAGCTTGTCAACACGTTGATCAAACGTCATAGCTGCTACTTGTACTTTGAATCTGCACAATGAGATTATAGTCCTGTCTGTCACTACTTTAGAAATGGATAATTTTACAAAGCAGGTTCTAGACAGGAAAAGGCATGAAATGCCACCCTCAGGTATTTTTGCCAAAACTGTACTTTTTGAAATCCTCAGATCTAACCTACAAACCCAGGGCATTATCTTCTTGTGTTCACTGTTGCCAACTTAGTGACCTAAGGTTGTTATGGTACAGTGTTTCCCCTACCATTATACAACCAGGGCGCCCCACCCTGTCAACAGAATCGAGTGCCCTGCCTACCGAACTGAACCCGCACCCCGTTGACAACTGCCGGCACTTACGTAACGCCAAGCTAGCTGCGCGCAACACAGATATGTCTCTGTCTCCACTATACCCCAACAACCCCATCCACAAAAATCGTGGAAGAGATGAGTGCCCTGCCAAGGCAAGTAATCTATATTGTTGTATAATTAAGGCTTATATGGGGGAGTGGTGGCACAGAGGTTAGAAAAGGCAAGCCTGTGACTGGAAGGTTGTCGATTCGATTCTCCAGACCAACAACATCAAAATGTGGGTGGGAAAGTTGAAGCAGCCACACCTGCCTCCACCCTCATTTGCCCCACTCAGGGCCCTTGAGCAAGACCCTTAACCCCCACCATCTGCTCCCCTAGGCAACCTATGGCAACTCTCTGCTCCACACAGAGGGCTGTGGTAGCTCAGTGGTCTGTGGTTGTGTGAGGAACGGCATCTGATGTAAAAACAACTGCCACGTTTTCAATTGAGTTAGTTTGCTGTGGTGACCCTTGAGAAAGGAAGCAACCGAAAGAAGAAGTAACTCTTTAAAAAAAATAGCTACAAGTATTTTTCTTATACTGTTGGATACTTTTGGATACTCTGATGTGAAAGTACATCTTTTCTCAATAAACAGCATGTCTGCCACGGGCCTTTCCCTCATCCCAAACATCCCAAAGCACTCACAGGTGTGCTTTACTTGCTAGGATTGCAACACTAGTTTTGTTTGCATTCAACAATCATAATGTAAGCTTTATGCATTTGCTTCATGCCTTATTTCCTGTTTATGGTGTATTTTTGTGGCAGTGTTACAGCACCACAGGCAGGCTTGGTGTAACTACTACAGTGTTTTAGGTTGTTTTTAGTGTTTCCATGTGGATGAAAACATTTTTAGAAATTTACAGTGTACAAGAGTATATTTTAAAATCACCTATTAAAAAGATTGTTTTAGAAAAACTACATTTCTGTGTGGACAAGGCCTTAGTTTCTTGGGCACAAAGCCATAATGAACGTGTGAAATAAGCTTGTTTTTGAAAAGCTCTGAATTTCAAATCCACATAGGTGCACCAAAAATGATGCTTTTGAAAATTATTTTCATCTCAAAAACTTCTGTGTGTGGACAAGAGGTGCAGCGGAGAAGAAAGTCACTGTTTTTAAAAATATCTAAAGTAGTGTAGATGGGCAGCCCTATTTTTTTAATAACTGATTTGAGAAGTGAAACAAATCTGTAATTATCTGTGCTTTTTTTAAAATATCAAAACTGCTATAGCATTTGTATTACATTATCCTGATGAAGTGTATTGTTGCCTTTAATAAACATTTGAATTTGAATACAGAATTTTAGAGTTGTTTTTTGTTTATTTTAGACCTTTTTACATTCTCCAGGTTTTTTTTTTTTCTTCCTGTAGCGGTCACATTCTGTGCGGTTGGCAGCTAATAGCCTTTCAGCATCCTACTGAATTAATGGATGCAGAACGTGTTGGATTTTCTGTTAGGCTTCGGTTTTGAATAAACTCGGCTCTAAATTACTCCCAAGAATAAAACGTATGTGTACATTAAAGCAGGTGAGGCTCATGGGCAGGTAAAATGGTCTCTGAGTAGCTGTTCACTTTGTCGATAACCTTCCATGGCAGCCTGTCGGTATGACTTGCAGCCTGGCTCTTGTTGCTCTAATGCTTCAGTTTGTTTCTGACCTTTAGTTTTTTTCCTTCATACACTGAAAACCCTTTTCTGTAAACAGGCAAAGCAGCATTATTTAGAATTACGTGCCCCTTTTCCATTAAAATTCACCTCACATTTTCTCTGTAAAATGTGCTTCTCTCACATGATGCGTGCGAGCAGACAACAGAGCTCTCCACTGATGCACTTTTCATTTTTCACCTCTTGTGGCTGTTTACCGCGCAGTTAACCTCTGGCCCCGCCTACACATGCTATTTTCTCATTTTTCATACACAAGTACTAATTAGGAAAGGGACACTGTCTACAGGATGTCTATATTTCTTAGTTTTTTTTAATGTTTGTGCTCAGGCTGGGCTGAATTCAGCTAATGTATTTTTATTTATTTTTTCTTAATATTGCCCACCACAGAAAGGCAAAGGGCACGCAACGATAATTTTGTTTGTATCTGTGGTGCGTGTCTGTTAGCAAAATATCTCTTGAAACACTGTATAGGCTTTGATGAAACTCTTACTCAGTAGCTAATCAATGAATGTACATCTACAACTGGTTAACTTGTGAAAGTCAATCCAATTCAAGATGGCTGCCAAAACTAATCGACCTGAGCTAACACTAAAGCTACTGTATTGTAGGTTAGTCAGGTTTACAGTGATTGAGCTCTGTCTGTTAGCAAAATATCCCATGAATCAATCATCCGATTTTACTGAAACTCTCAGAAAGTCACTACTGGATTAGCAACTACAACCAAATACATTTTGGGCTCAACCCAGTTCAAGATGGTTGCCACACTAAAATGAACTTAGCAAAAATAAAAATAGCCATAACTCTGTCAATTTTACAGCTAATGTGCTAAAGTTTGGTGTGGTGGTAGATAACTATCATCCTTAACACATATTTTGGGCGCTGCGCATTGCCCAAATTGTTGTTTAAGTTTTGTCATAAACAGTTAAGAGTTAGTCTGTTAGCAAAATATCTCATAACCCCCTTAATAGGTTACAATGAAACTCCCAGACAGCAATTATAGGATGTTCACCTACAACTGATTAACTTTGAATCAACTCAGTTTAACCCTCCTGCTGCTCGTGGGTCATTGTATGGCAGCAGGAGGGTTAAGATATCTGCCAAAGCTGATCAACATTTGCCATCACAAAAATAGCAATCACTTAGTTAATTACAAAAACTGAGTTAGTTTAGTGTGGTAGTAGCTGAGAGTCATTTACACCACGTTTAAAAGATATTGCATGAGACTGTGCATAACATTTATTTCAAGGTTTCACCAAAATAGCTACAACTCAGATTATCTCAGTTTAAAATTCTGGCATGAAATGCAGCATTCCTTCCAGGAAAGTAAAGTTTTAAAAAATTTAATTTTTGTATCTCACACTTTAAACTTCTAAGCCAACAAATAAACTCCCTTAACGGACAATCACACGTGCTCACATTAAAGACTAATTAAAATCACCAAGTAGCTTGAATCTATTTATTACCTATTTTTATTAAATTATTTGTTTTCCATTAAAATATAAGGATTTAATTGTGTTGTTCTTTGTACAGTGACAATAAAACCTGATTCTGATTTTTGGACAGTGAGGAAAAAAAACGGAGTATCTGGTGAAAATCTCCTCCTCAGTGAGAACGTTGGGTACGTACTGTAACCCCAGATTCTATGAGTATAGGCGAAGCCCTTTAAGGCTATCGCTAGTGGGTTTATCCCTTCACGCACAGCGCAGCACTGAAAACTTTAGTCCGCATCCACCAGCTGAGTGGGCCCCACCCCTGGTCCGTATAAATTACTGTGAGACCGGGCAATCGGCTCCCAAATAGCTTTTTTTCTTCAGCCATTTAGGAACCAGTGAGGCCCAGAGCTTAAAGGGCTATGCCTATACTCATAGAATCTGGGGTTACAGTACGTAACCAACGTTCTATTTCGTATAGGCTTCACCCTTCAAGGCTATCGCTAGTGGGTTAAAGGCGAAGCAGGATGTAGTCTATGCCTCACTGGGTCCATTCAGACACAAACATGAAGCACTTGCTCGCACAAAACACATTTCATCACTCAGCCTTCTGTGTGCGTAATTACGTGCTGCGTAATTGAATGCTCCATGCGCAGGAGCGCACCAGAGAAAAGATCTCTGGTGAGGAAAAAGGCTGAGATAGCAGACCTGCTGCTGTGAATAGGAACAACAGAGGTTCCGAAATGTAACAGTGTAACGATGAACAGAGCAGACCAACAGCTCCTCAGGATGAACCAATTAATAACTATAAAATCAGCAGTCATGAACTTGTGGCTGATAATAAATATCTCACACTGCGACTGCATGCAGGCAGGTGTGAGCTCGAAAGTGAGGCTCCATGAAACAAATAATAATCATTCTGTCAGAACCCTGAGAACAGAATGGGTCATGGAAAAAGTAGAAACATCACATAGATAAAAACGAATAATTGAACATGGCGATGACCAGGCAGTCGCCATACAAATATCCTCCACTGTCATCCCTCCATGCAGAGCCATGGAGGATGAAAACCCTCTGGTGGAATGCGCTGAGATTCTGTGTGAGGATCCAGCCCAGAGGAACTGTAAGCTTCAGAAATAGCCTCACACAACCAGTGTGAGAGGTGCTGGGTGGATAGAGGACGTCCTGTAGAACTGTCCCTGTAATGCACGAACAGACGCTGAGAGCGGCGCAGTGTGGCTGTGTGTTCCACGTAACACGAAAGCACGCACACGGGACAGAGGAGGTGAGATGTTGCTTCCTCCTCAGAATTATGAAGAGGAGGATAAAACCCATCCAAGGTTATCACTCGATCTGAATGAGTACAGCTGAGCTGCCGTCAACTTGAATTGTGAGACATGCACGAGCAACAAAGAGAGCAGATAAATCACTCACTCTTTGCCGACGTCGGAGCTAACAGCAGGGCTGTTTTAAGTG